GGTATTCCCACTAATTAATTTTAGGCGTTAATTTTATCAGCTAAAAAAAGCTCCAGTAATCTCGCACGAGACTATTTTCACACGTGCCGTGATAGATTCCCAACAAGATTCAAAATCCGCGGTGAGAATGTTTACGGATCCGGATCTTCCAAAGCGGTCGTTCCCAGGAAGCACTAAGAGATTTTGAGTCAACAGGTCAGCTCCCAATGGACGACTACCGACGCCTTTCTTTGACTGTACCCTTTGACCTTTGATGCGATACGGTCATTCACACGTTTCTTTTCTAAAATTGTTTCACACTAATCCAAGTTGGAAAATGCACCGTGGGAGTGGTGAACAATCCTCAGGCACTATATAAGACATCGGGAACCAGTGGTCAGTAATCATTTGCTTTTCCACGTGCCCTAACTTCTGTGCTTGTTTCACGTCTCTACTGATTTCCTGGCTGTCTCAGAAATGTTCTTCCTATCCTTTATCATTATCAGCTTGGCTCCAGCTCTGTTCAATGCTGCGCCAATTTCACCCCTCCCCCCAGAAACCCCAGTCAACAACCCCCCGACTGTTCATTTCTGGATTACAACCGAAATATTGAATGTTGACTGGACCCCGAAATGTCTTACGACCGCATACTGCGACGAACCAGAGCTGAAGATAACCCAAACAAATACGTGGAACGGCGAGAAAAGCTCATTTAGCTGGGTGCTGAATGAAAATTTTGAACAGGTATGATTCATTTTTTCGGTAGCATCATAAGATCAGAAAAAAGAATCGGGGCACGGGATCCTTTTAAGTGGCTTGGGCTAAATTTGAAGCGAATTTTTAAAACTTCCGGAGCTTTAAAAAAATTTGATTTTCCCGGGGCTCCTGACTAATGGTATTTCACAAATTAAATAGTGTCACCAAAGGGAGTATTCTAGTAATATAACTAACATTACGGCTACCCAATAATCTTCGACTGGCCATCGTAATTTTGCATATTTTAAGCAATAACTACTCGATACTTGAAACCACGGCTGTTTCGCCATTGAATCATATTTGAAACGCTCTTTAGTACTATAACTGACAAATTTACCATCAATTTTTATTTCATAGTTCTTTTAA